TTTTACTTCTCCCATCTGAGCACATCAAAGTGTGGATCGAAATAAACTGGTGAATGACGGTAGCATATTCCTTGGCTGTGTATAAGGATATTTAGGATGTGGGAGCTTTTTTCTCTACCAAACACCAAGGCATTACTTTCCATACTTTACCATTTTTAGGCGTATTTACCTTTCTTGCCATTTTTTTCATTCATAAGTCAGTTCAGTAAAATAAGTTCTGTCTTTCCCTAAATATGTTAAAATGTCTTATTTGAATGATGGTTGTTCGTTCTATTACATGTAGTTCGTTTATAACCAGGATTTGACCATCTTGCTGTATCATCTGAAGTAAGCTGCCAAAATAATTAGTGATATTTAATTCCATAGTTGACTGAAAATATTTGAAATTAAGTTGTGTTTTAATGTTCTCATAACTTTTGTTATCATAGTTGTTATTCTGATGTCTCATTTGCGCAATGTTGGCACAGTTTAATTTTGAAATTTAATTTTGATTCGAAAAAACGAACCTCTTCATCCTATTTAGCGTATCTAGAGTACGTTAATGTACACATTACAAATAGACCTTCCACTTTGTTAAATTTAGAAATTGTTGTATGCATATTTTAGTCATATTCCATTACTTTGCCTTCCACTGTGCTGCCTGATATGGTCAATGTGGAAAGCAACTTTCAACCATTGAAGAAAGGGGCTAAAGCCGAACGGATTGTGATTTCTCCTTTTTGGGATGTAAAATGACAATTATTTCAATAAGATTTGTGGGCGTTTATAAAAAAACATCTGGAATAATCAATTCTTCAAAGACATTTTTGTGATTGTGTACCATAAATTTGATAGGGTCATTTATTTATTTTTCATTGTATTAAATTTCTCTGACTTTCATGTCTTAAGTTTTTATTTTATTTTATTCTACTATATTTGTTGTTCAGTGGTGAAAATAAGTTGCTATGATAAGACTTCAGTTCCTGGATTCAACGTTTGCGTTGAAAATCTGCAATGACGTTAAAATCCTTTGCGTTATTTTATCATATAATTTAACTGACAGATTTTTATTCAATATATAAGGTATTCCTTCCCCTTCTTAGCGTGCCTTCGTGATGTAGTGGTCTGTATGCTGGGCGCGTATTCAAGAGGTTCGTGATTCGATTCTCGGCGAAGGCGTTGCTCATTTTTCATCTTTCCTGCTTCCGAAATAACCTAATGTCTCTACAGTGGCGCTCGAACTAAAAAGGATGGTGGATGATGATTCTCCCCCTTCTGTATTTCAACCCCTTCTTAGCATGCCTCTATGGTGTAGTGGTCTGCATGCTTTGCGCGTATTCCAGAGGTCCCGTGGTTCGATTCCCGGCAAAGGCGTTGCTCATTTTTCGTCTTTCCTGCTTCCGAAATAACCTAATGACTCTACAAATATATTCGAGTATCTAAATTCTACAATGTTAATTTGTATCCCTATTTTACAGCCCATATACATCAACTTACAAGGTTCTAGTAAATTTACTTATCCTTGGCTATTAGAACTTTTGTGAAATGTCTAGCGACTATTCGCTAATCTTCTTGCAGCTATAAAACATAAGTGCAAAGAAGGGCTTTACTGAGGACTTCTGAGCTCGTCTACGAAAGTGATTAATTTTCTACGGAAATGATTCCCATTAAATACTGGTTCCACTTCATTTACATAAAACGCGATACTGAAATCTCATTCTGGCAGGAAATTGTAGGTGGAAAACAAGAATTTAACAGAAAGGGTTTCAAAATTAAAAATAATTATTAGAAAATTAAAGTAATTCCTACAAACTATAGTAAATATTCCTGAATTCATTTTCTGTAACTCTTTCTAAGTTAATAGCTATTTGTTGTTTTACACCGATATTAATGTATATCGATAATAATCTCTTTTCCAGGCTATGTCCTCACCTGTAAGTACATATAATGAATTGTTAATAGATCCATATCAAATTACGTTCGTGAACTGAGGCTTCAGTGTGTGTACATTCATTTGAATGGAAAATTAATTGATTTTAGATCACAAAGGCGATATGAAGGATCTAAATGTGCAGTAAGCTTATCATCTGTCTATGTTACTGGCAAAGTATGAAATCCGGCATCCTACAGAATACCTAGACATTAGAATGCCAAAATCTGTCCGGCAATGTAGGAAACGATTAATCATTTCACACATTGCGTAGGCATTCTATAGAACGCGAAATGTTAAACAGGCAAAGCGTTAAATGCATTTGCGATTCTTTTCGAATAACTAAAACTACTTACCAGAAGTTAGTAAATGATGTAAAACACAATAAATGATTACTAAGAAGGAACCACAAGACAGTTTTTTGCTGAACGCTGTGATGTGATGCTTGTGGGAAATAAAAGTAAACTCGTATATCCTGTTAAAGAAAGTGTATGTACCATACAATATGACGTCACGGACACTGGGTTATTTCACATACTTCATGAAAATCATTTGGCTGCTGGGCACGGAGGACATGACAGAATGTTGAAAGAACTTTCAAGCAAATACAAAAACGTTACACGTAATGATATTGAACTGTAGTACATCCACTATTGTGAGCCATTCCAGAAAAAAACAAAAGGATGTTGAAAAGGGCATTGTTGTGAAACCCATGATTTCTTGAATTTAATGTCCGTTTTGGTAGATCTTACTGATTTCCAGTCTCAGCAGATAAAGAATCCAAATTTATTATGGTATGCCAAGATCATCTGACTAATTTTGTTTTTGCGTATTTGAATAAAAATTTGCTAATGACAGTCTTTCATTATTTTTTCAAAATAACCTTTGTATTTTTGAAAAATGAACATCTTTTTAAATGGTAGCTTTATCATGACCTTTACTTCATACTTCTCCTAAAGAGCATTTGTCATTCTATAGGATTGCCTAGGAGTTATATACAATACCTATGCAAATTATATAATTATTCTCATATGTCATAATTTGCCCTAAAATGCCAGACATTCTATTAAATGCTTAAGTTGTAGAGACATTAGGTATTTTTTAAAAGCAGGAAAGATGAAACGCCGGGAATCGAACTGCGGACCTGTGGAATACGCGTTCAGCGTGCAGACAACTACATCACGAAGGCACGCTAAGAAGGCGGGAGAAATACCGAATGTACTCCCCCTTTTAAAGGGCCACTGGGGTTTTTTAGGGGACCCAATCGCCAAATTCTGGGGGTGGAAAATCATCATCCACCACCCTTTTAGTTCGAGCGTCACTGTAGAGATATTATATATTTTTTGGAAGCAAGATTCATGAAAAATGAGCAACGCCTTCGCCAGGAATCGAACCGCGGACCTCTGGAATACGCGCCCAGCGTGCAGACCACTGCACCACCAAAGCACGCTAAGAAGGCGGGAGAAATACCTTATAAAATATTGCGTATAGCAACGTTTCATACATTGCCGGTAATATCTATAAACTAACAACTGAAAATGGATGTTTGTTAACGAAATGAATCATTTATGAGGATTATTATAAGATAGCTTGGCAATGGACATAATATATAGTGGATGTATAAATCCAAAGGAGCTTTATTTCCATTGACATCAGAATAAGAATAAAAAATAAATGAAGTCTTTTAATATTAATATGACGTTTTTTGTCCATAATGCTGATAGATATACAGTTCAATATTCATAGAGATTTGTCCCCTTTGCTCTGTATCGAAAAGAATTTTCCCCAGCTACGTCTTCTGCTCAGTAGAAGTGGAGTTGGATAAAAAAAAAGAGGGACATAAATAAATATAAATATCATGTGAAAATAGAAAAAAAACTGTGGGGATATTTTCCTTTCATGGCGAGAAATAACGGAAGGTCATCTCCTTTTTCATGGTACTGTCCGCGACAAACTGATACGAAAGGGAGCAAAGTTCGGACCTTTGCGCTTCTATAGCTAGAGAAAATGAGCAAGTTTCCGATGTGGAAGGAGGGAGCAAAATGACGTTGACCGTTTTACGACAGCAAATGCTGGATATTCTTTCCGAAGAAAATAAATGGGCTGACCGTATCTCCGTCATCCTTTTTTACGAGGTTTCTAGAATTTATCTGTGTATTTCACACCTACAATTTAAAAAGAAAGTAATGCTAGAAGTTTCTTGAAGTTCAGGAAATAAATGGTAAATCTTTTTGGATAGGCTCAGGATTAGTTTTCTGTTGAAGAATTTCGCGTAAAGTTCTACTTATGGTAGAAAACTGAGTATTTCAGAATTTTATCTTTTATGGTGTCTAAAATCGGATCTGTGTAAAGGATAAAAACCATTTTAATTGCATGAGTCATTTTAATGAATCGATCGACCTATTAAATTTGAATTTATGATTTTATAATGGGGGAATCTCGTTTGAATTAGCGCACAGAAGTGAAGTTTATGGTAAAATAGACCTACGTAATTAAATCAGAAAATCAGAGCTCACTTTCTTAAGGAATGTATGTATTAGAATATTTTTAACCCTTTTAGTGGCACGGGGTTTTGGATACGCTCAACAAAACTGAAATCACAGATTTTACATTTTTAGTTTTGAGAACAAAACTGAAATCATTGATTTTACTCATATGTACACAGAAAATAAACAGTATGATATTTGAAATAGTTTTCTGTTTATGTTTAGAATATCAAGGCTCGAAAACTTCTGTATACATTTTAATAGAAGCAGTTTGGTTTCAAAGTAGACTGCGCTCAAATTGAAAGTTTTTTTAAGTTTACACAACTGTCATTGTTTATTACGATTGTAAAACCAACTGAATTACCAAATTCGGAAACTTCAGTTCATTCCTAACTATAAAATACTGTTAAAATAAAAGATGAATAACATTGTACATTTGTAATGACTTTTATTTTTGTTACCTGTGTCTTTAGAAATCTGAACTTCTAAAAATAACTGTTAAATTTACATCATTCTCAAATAGCTTAGAAGTGTTAAGTTTCGTCTCTTATTCTTAGTGTGCTTGTAGTGAAAAGAAAAATCATGATTTTCTTTTTTATTTTTAGGTTCATTAATGCCAGAAGGCGAATAGTGCAACCAATGATTGACCAGTCTAATAGAGCTGGTAAGTTTTATATTTTATTTTGAGATTTTCTTTAGCTTTTACGTTTATTGCACTAATTACTAAGATATAATTGTTGACGTCATAAAAATATTGAGAAGATACTGCATGAAACGACTTAGATTAGTGATTGAAGCATTTGAAAATTTTTGTTTGAGGAAAAATTGATTGTTAGAAATTCAAAAACAAAATTTTATAATTTTATTCAAAATGCAATACACTTGTAGCATCTGCTACTGCACTTGCCCAGTGGTAGGATCAAAGATAGTTAATTGCAAGTAGTAGTATTAGGTATTTCATGTCAGTTACAGTAGCAGATATTGTAACTGCAAATACAACACCTTATATCATTATTTATTACATATTATTGGTGATATCGAGAAACATCTGCGGTAGTTAGGGCTTCTGCCTTGTAGAATATAGCAAAGCAAGTCCTTTTAATCTAGAAAATCTGGATTTTTCCTCAATCTCTCTTCACCGAACGAAGTAAAACATTTTGCGTTCGTGCAGCAAGGCAACTCAAAATCGTTGAAAAAGGCGAAGGAATAAGTTACTATAAACATGATTCTATTTTTCTGCCCGAATTTACTTCTATATTTAACTTTAACGGTTAACGGACAAAATTCTTTCTTTTCTTTTCTTTTTTTTTTTTTTTTTTTTTTTTTTTCGTGAGTAGAGAGATTGCGCTTAATGGTGGGGCTCCTGAAAGCCTGAAACCAGAAACTGAGATAGGCTCCGTATCACTCTCATTAGAAAACGCATCAATCATTCCTCTTTGGACAGCTGGGGGAAGAAGAATTCGCATCCCCTCCTTTTCTTTTCGGTATGGCTCTGAAAAGCCCGTGCTTTGTGTTGACCGAGAAGGAAAACTTTAGCGTGAAGAAGAGGAAAAAGGGAAATTGGAACTTTGGTTGTAGTTCCCTTTCCATCTATACTTCTAAGTTTTTGTAAAAAGGGGTTGTGTTCAAATTCAGTCGTTAATAAACTTTCGTAAATGATGCTTAATGAGTGGATGGATTGCTGTGATTTTTCGAAACTATATTAAAAAATTGTTTCTTAAAATCAAAATAAGAATAATATTAGATTATCGTATTAAAAAGTGTAACCAGCCCAAAAAAGGGGCGTTTTTTTTAAAGCAATCTTTCATTTAACGCGTGGCCCGCCCGGCCGAGCGGTAAAGTCGCTGAACACTGGTAGTTCGGTCCGAGGTTCGAATCCCGCGAACGGGCTGGCTGCGTGGATATTTTCGTGGTTTTTCCCATGTGTGACGTGTATACGAGCCAGTTTCCCTTAGAAAATCCTCCACGAAGGCATCCCTCCCCTTAGGCAGATAGCCCTAGTGTGCTTTGCCGTAATTAAATACAATACCACCACACCACATCATTTAACGCGTGAAAATATCCTTAAACATATGAAATTTCCATTTAAATTTCACCATAATAAATTCACATCTTTGAATTTCAGAACTGATTTTTTAATATTTGCTGCGTTCTTTTGAAATTGCTTCATAAAAAATTAATTCTTTTGTAATTATAAAATTATTTATTTACGTGGAATTTCTCCGACATCGTGAATTAAAATTTGAGGAAAAAATAACTTTCTATTATGCATAAATATGGAATCAGTTTTAATTTCTGAATACGGTTCTGCTAACATTAAATTTAATGGTTAGGGGAAGGTTAAATTATATTGTCCTTACAGTAAATAAAGAATTTTCTGATTTATTAGTCTAAAAGGAAATTTTTACTTTATAAAATATTTTATAAAAACAGTAATATCATTTTTATTGTAGTAGACCTTCATTTGTGCAATAATACATTTTTATTATAGTAGACCTTCATTTGTGCAATAATACATTTTGAGCTTTCCAAATGTAGTCTTAAATGATTATTTACTGCTAAATATGCGTGATATTTCATACGATGCCTTAGAGCACAATAAGAACCAGTATCATAATGTACAAGGTAATTAGTAGCATAATACATAAGAGAACAAATATCATAGTACATGAGAACCATTATCAGAATGCATGACAGATTTTCGAGATCTTAGACATCTAAAATGCTTATACGAAGCGTATTTCTGTCTTTTGTTGGATGATATTACTATGCACATATAAAAATTCTGTCTTTACCTTTTATCTCAGTTAAGGAGGATGTAATAAGTGAAGTAAATTAAAATATCTTCATAATTTAATGGTTCAATTAGAAATATAAAGGAGATTTCTAACAGTATAACATCATATTATTACGCCGGGAATTACTGGGACTGTTTTTAAGTTGCGCGAGATTTCAGACAAATGCTGTATCGAGATTTATTAAGTAATATTTTGAGTCTTTTCATTCCATTTAATCCCTAAGTACCATTACAGTATCTCATTCCATCATGAAAGCATCAAAGCAAAGAATCATGAAAGCATCAAAATACCAGAACAGGAACTACCTCGGTTTTTTTATCATACCATTTGGGTAATAGAAAAGAGTTACAACAAAGTCCTCTTTTATTAGTTGGAAATCTTAGTGTAGTAAACTACACTAAGTAGTAAACTACCGTTTTTTTTGGTGCTAGGGGGAATTTTTTAAAAATAATTTACTGTATTCAATGCAAATTCTGTGCGAAAACGTTAATCTGATTGCATCTTTGAGGATACCATTACAGTGTCTTATTCCATCCTATACTGCAAAGAGTCATGAAACCATCACAATGCCAGAACAGGAAATACGCCGATTTTAATATCATACGTTGTGTAATAGAAAAAGGCTACAACAAAGTCCTGTTTTATTAGTTGAACATTTTAGTGTAGTAAATTGAAAAGTTTTTCCTTTTCTTTGCATATTTATTCTCTTAAGTTAACCGTTTTCTTATGCTAGATTTTTTTTTAAATATAATTTACTGTAACAAATGCAAACACCGTGGAAAAACGAGAATCTGATTGCATTTCTTGTAGGTCTGTGGTCACAGTGCTGTTCTTTTTAAATGGCAGTTTAAAACAGACATTATATAAGCCATTTTGTATCCATCAGGACTCTCCATAAATATAAGTAGATGCACCTCTGCACCATTTTCTCATTATTCGGCGCAACCTAGAAATAATAGCTCGTTATTTATTCATTTGCCCTAGGCGACGGCTGTGAAAGGCAGAGGAGTTTTTGCAATTTCCCTTTTATCGTGCGCGCACACACCAAGTCTCCCCGTCTCCATTGACAGCTTCATGATTGATGCTTTATCAATCCCCTGAGCGTGCTCGCGGATATTTTTTTTTTTCCTGTTTACTAAGAAAGAACTTTTTTAGGGAGACTCACAACACCGGGCGATTTCGTATAGTAAGTACCCATAACTCCCCCACCCGTTCTCTTGATAGCGGTTTTCTGTTTTTTATTTCTTTTCTATACTATCTGTTGTATTGTAGAATTGATGAATGAGCCACTTATCGTTATTGGTAGGCTTGCTTCTTTTGAATGATGTTTTGTATGGCTCTATCGAGACGTTTGCGTTTCCACTGTACTGTCTTGTATACACTATTTGCGAAACAATTTTCGTGCTTATGATATTTTTATCAGTTTATTACTTATTGAAATAAATGCGATTTCTCGTTTTTAATAACGGGTATTATGTTCTGAATTTGTTCAGCTTTCGCGATTACGTTTCGGAAAGTAAACAGTTATCACGCAGAGACATCGGAGTTCGCGTGAAGCATCAGAAACATCATGTAAAATATGTTGTCATATGTAATGCAAAATTTGGTTTTGTTGCTGAACAAAATACATTGCATGAGTTACGTGTTCGTCTGAGAAATGGAATCCGTGCTTACTTTATTGGAGTTAGGTTAACTTATATTTTTAGCCTAAAGGGGTGGTAGCCCAGAAGGGCTATTAGTCTCAAAACAGCATTAGTGATGTTTCACTATAAACGGCGAATCACCTTTTTAAATTGTTGCCACCAAATATTATCGCTCTGCATTGTATTAAATGAAGAATCTGCATAAATGTATGTATGTTTCTCACATTGCGAAAAAACTACGGTACCTAGAGCCATCAAATTTTGAATAACGTAATCCTCCACCCGAACATGGTCACCTGGACGACCAAATTTTGACTAACGTAATCCTCCACTCGAACATGGGCACCTGGACGGCCAAATTTTGAATTTCGAATTTTATTTATTATCTATTTCATATTTAATGAAACTTTAACGATTTTTGATTAATATAATCAACGATTTCAAAGCGACCAATGGCAACACTGTACGAAAAAAAAACATTTTTATCTCCAGCGCGAGAGACTCTCTGTCGGAAATTTTAAAGATATGCTGTTTTCAAATATTTTGTGATATTGTTGTTGAATTTTATGTATTTTAGATGCAAAACCGTGATATTTAATAAATAAAGGTAATACACAAAACGTTAAAAACAAAACGCTCCTTGGACGTGATATAAAATCTATATCCTTAGGCGTAATATAAGCTTTCAGATAGTTTTAAATTCTTTTTAATATGTATTATTAGAAATACTCAGGTTTAAGCAAAGGACTTTACTGTCAGAAGAAAGCATAATTGCACGTTCATGTTCGAAACATCCGTCCTAAATTAATGAAATTTAGAGAAAAATTGCATATATTTTTCATTATTAACCGAAATGATTAGGAATTAATTTTTAATAGAAAATATTAATTTAATGCTTAGTTTTGTCACCAAAAATCTATTTTTATAGAAAAATAAGATTGTTGACGTACAGTGCTTTTATTGTAATCCTTATATTTTTAAACAGATTCAATGGAAGTTTGACAAATTTTGTAAGTTACAGTGTGTATTTCTTCGAAGAATAAGAGTTTATGTAATTTTTTATGAAACTCAGTGTTGTTTGCATTATATATTGTACTATTGTTAGAGTAGCTATTAAAGCATATTTATTTTAATTCCATTCTTATATTAGTTATTTTATTAGGTATTTTCTTTGCTATATTTTGGTGTCATAATGATGCGTGTCTTTTAATTTCAGGGTTTCAGGTAGCCGCTTGTCTATAACTTTTTATTTCTGTTAAGGGTATTATGATGAATGTTTTAGCAAATTACATTCAAATGCTCCTCAGTTTTCAAAATAATTTCATTAAGAGATATATGATGATGGAATGCTTATGCACCTAAACTTGTTCTTAAAGATAGTATTGTGAAAATAGTATAGAAGAAATATGTTTTTTAATCATTCCGTATAGTTGGTGGTCCGTATGAGCGTTTCAAGAAAACGCAGACGCTAGTTCCTTGTTAAATACCTATATATAGCATTATTTTTTTATTTGAAACCATTAACGGCTTTTATTTTGTTTTTATACTTTTCGCCTTACAAAATGGCGAAGCTTAATGCATTATGATTTTGTTTTCTAAAATCCTTTTTGTTTCTGTTTTTCGTTAGGAGGAGCTAGTGCTGCGTATGGACCAGATGGTGCAGGCATGGGTTATATGATGGATGGCAGTCAGCAGATGCATATTAGACCCCCAGGTCAGACATCCAACTCCTTCAAATAAATATAAGTTCCACTCGATCGCGGGTTTTTATCATGTCTGTCCTTTGGGTCATTTTTATCATGTCTTCCTGTCTGGGTTAGAATTAAAGAACCTACAACATGTTCGAAAATATAGCCTAGAATACTATAGTATTCTGAAAAATTCATAATCAAATTTATCGGCATTCTGTGTTACTTTAATTGACAAAGAATAGAGTAAATACTAAAGAGTATTTTCTATAAAGTTCATATCTCCATAAAGAAAATACTCATAATCTCTCTAATCCAAAAATTGAATCGTGAGATACATAAAAGAAAGAATGACCTTGTTTGTTTACGTTAGCTATACATAAGTCACGTGATGTCTGAGGTCATCTACATTGTTTGTTTACATTAGCTATACATAAGTCACATAATCTGTGAGGTCATAGGAATGTATCTTATTTAACGTATGAAAAAGTAAAGCACAGATCAAAATTCATTATAAATATATATAACATATAATATACGCTGTTTTAGTTTCAAAATCAAATGATTTATCCTACAATTATTAATTACTGAATTAGAATGTTTTTGTAAATACCTGTTATGTCCATGTCGCAATTTCAAGAGGGTTTTTTTTCCTGTCACTGATTTCCGCTACGTAATAAATCATTCTAAATAAATTTCATGGTTGTACAAATTCATTTTAGTTCTCATGCTCATTAATAGGTCAAATTACTTTAAAAGCGTACGTTCTTTGGTTCATGGTAAGCTATTCCTCCAAAAAATTTATAAAACTTAATGCTCTTCGAAACAACTACATCTTTATTACCTGATGTGAAATAAGCCTTATTTTAGGAAGCGCACAGAATGAAGAGGTACAATTTTCAGGAACTGTTTTATTCATTTATTTTCAAATATAACTTTCACGGTTTCTTAACGAATGCATTGTAAAATTGTTCAAGTTTTTGCCAGCTTATAAGCTTACTTTTTGCATAAATTAATTCTTATAAAAATGTTGACTATATTTCTTTTAACATTTTAAATCTTCTTATATGCTATAAGAAAAAAGAAATCAAAAAATTATTCGAATCATAAATTCTCAATATGATTTTCCTAATGGTATTAAAAGCTGTCATATTTCTGTGGTATCATCATGTGTGTTTCAGTGAATAATTTTTAACATTAAGTTAAAACTTTTAATTGCAATTTATTTTAACTTAGTTTTAAAAATTATTCACTGGAACCACAGTATCACATTTTCTTTAAAGCAATAGCATATAATTAATATATTATTATTTTATATGCTTTTCAAGGTTTCTTTTCCACTTTTAATTAAGATTTTATGTTAATTTATAAATGAACAATAATTAAATTGATTTCAGTATTATTTTTTGTGTTATTGTTGATTTTGCTTCTATCTTTATTATTAATCGCTTATTTTTTTAACCTAAAAGGTATAGCGCAAAAGCAACTTATTAGCGCTAGAGATGTTGTTAGTATTGAAACTCATTTTTTGTCCGAATCGTTTTTCAAAGTGTTGCCACCATGTAATATTTTAAAAAATTAATAATGAGGAATCGGTATGAATGTTTGTTCCTCGCATTGGGAAAAACGACGTCGCATCTAGAGACATCCAGTTTTGAATGTGCGTAGTCCTCCACACGAACATGTCCAACTCGAAGCTGGAATTTTGAATTTCAGATGTGTTTTATTATTTACATCAGTTTTGTAAAAATTTAATGAAATTTCGATTAACATACTCAGGGACTTTAAAGCGAGAATTGTCTCTTCGAAATAAAAAATTTTTATCTCCAGGGCGTCAGACTGTTACTATTAGGCAAAATATAAGATATTCATCTTTCAATTTTAATCAACAAACTCGGCTATTTGAAAGCAATGTGTTGCCGCGGCCACAAATAAAATACTTTTATCTTCCATGTACTAGTGTGTTGCCATTCAGTAAAGCCTAAGATAGATACAAATTTAAGCTGGAAATTTATTGAGGAATAAACTTAACGATTTCAAAGCAATAAACACATTCCTTAAGAATATTTTTTCTGACTTTTAATAGGACTAACTAAAATCAAATTGCATTAAAATTATGAGATATATAATTAGAAATATTAAATATTTGTATGAAATTACACTAGATTGAACTCATTAAAATCATTATACCCTTTTTCTTTTTTATAATAAGAATTTTAGGTGGCTGGCTTCAGGAGCGGCTAGCTTTTAAAGAAATAATATAACGAATGTAAAAAATATACATAATTCTTAATTCTGTATCGAGAATTATAAATATAAGCTGCTTTTAAATATTTTGTGAATTTGCTGTTGAATTTTATGTGACATGAACTTTTTTGTGACATGAATAAGATTGTTGACGTACAGTGCTTTTATTGTAATCCTTATATTTTTAAACAGATTCAATGGAAGTTTGACAAATTTTGTGTGACATGAACTATCGAAAAACGTTATATTTATTACATAAACATATAAAAAGTTCATAATAAAAATAACAAAAAAGTTTTGAAGTTATCTTACTAAGGAAATTGGACATTGATATGATCACATGAGAAAAGACAGAAAAAATATAAAAATGCATGCCAACACTTAACATTATATCAGCAATTTTTTAACGTATGCCGCTATGCTGTTAAAAATTTTGTGACTTCTATGTTGAATTCCATGTTGCATAAGTGCGAAGAAAGCGAAGCTTAATAACAAAGCTAAAGAGTCAAAAAGAATTGTGTTAGTGGAAATGAGTCCAAGAGCATATTAGTACGCTGCGATACTTGGCGACAGCGTAAAATGTACGAAAGTTAACCGCCGAATACAAATAGATTTTTTGTAAAGTTGCTTTTTCTGCATTAACACTAAGCATGCAAGGAAACGACATTTACAGGCAAAGTCAAACGTAATTGAAATGCGTTCCTTTTTCGTTATCTACTCCGAAGTAATACGTACGTTTCATTTTTCTTCCTTTGAAGTCATTTACTTACAAATATACATTTAAATCTGTGAAGTGAATAAATTATTTATTTAAAAGATTGTAACTGCTTCTTTATTTTTAAAAAGTGCCCTTTGTTTTTTATTTGTAATCTGAAAAATCTTGTTTTTTTCTCGCAGGAATGCAGAATTTGTCTTGCAGTGAGGGTGCAATGGGCATGGGCCACATGGGTGGAATGGGTGGTTACACACAAATGTCGCAACTACGTTCTCCTGTCCATTCTCAAGCTATGCTTCTGCCTGGACACCCTCATGCTATGATGATGGCCCATGGACCTATGGGTCACCCAGGCTTACCACCTCAAGGCTCCCCTTATGATGCTTCAGGAGGGCACATCATGGACATCCATGCCAGTTAAGCTGAGACATCACATTCTCGACATCCATTTTCTGTATCCATTCTTATCTTAATCTTCCCTCTGTGTTCTGTAAGATATGGAGCGGACACGAAAAGAATTATGCAGCTCGAACTTTTTATTATTTTTCCCTTTGGATGATTTTGTGCTGATCCATCGATAAAGGGTAGGATGTGGAAGAAATGTTTTCGATTGAAATAATCACCTCACTAGTGTTATTATTGTATTATTGTTATAATTCTTATTGGCAATGTATGAGAATTTTTTATTTAATTTTAGATGTAAGGGAATTGTATTTTAATCCAAAAAAGTGATGCACATATTCAATAGAGAATTGCCTATAATTTTCTTCTAAAATATGTTTTACGCAGCTGTTTACGTTTGTAATTTCTTGCTTAATTGCTAACTTCTATTTTAAAAAAATTTTTCTTTTTATGAATATAAATGTAAATTGCTATTACCGGAATAATATTATCAAAATGTATATTTATTTCTTTTAATAGAATTTGTATGCAAAAACTTAAGAAATTTTTTTTTTGATTTATCTTTTGCGTCAAGTCAGATGCATTTAAATAAAGAAGTATAAAGTTAATTGTAAAAAATTTTCTTATTCAAATTTTGTAAGCATGATTTATTGTCGGTAAATATTGCTAAATTTATTTTCGTTTCTTTTTGCCTTGATATCCTGGCCAGTGAAACTGAATGCGAATTATTGGTCAGTAAGTGTTTTAGGGCATTATAATATTATTTGCAATGTGAATGTTGTATTTTCATAAGTCGCATCACTTTGAAGATATTAGTTGTATTATCTTATTCCATATTTTTAGGGTTGCTTTAAATAAATGCATTCAGTTATAGAAAATTGACTACAATAATCAATAAAATAATCCCTATCGTTGTTGATGAAACCGTGAGTGAGGAAGTCAATTTATTGGTTAAGTATGGTTGTGTATATAAATAATTTGTTTTAATTGGTAAAAAGAAGTTTTTTAGAAACCTAGAGTTTTACACTGAACTACGGGTTGAAACCCATTTTTTTATTTAGCAGCATTTAGTAGAAAATCTTGTTCATTGATCGATTAAATTACATTTTAATATATGTTTAACCTGTGACTTGTTTATTGTTTGTTTTTTCGTCATTAAATAAATCATTTTATAATTATGTTAGATTGTAAGATCATAAATATGATGTAATTTAATTCATTTTAAATTTATAAATTTTCAATTTTTTTAAATACTATGCAAAATGTCAGGCATTTAGTTTTGTAATAAACAATTTAAAATACATAAATTTAACTAGAACCACTACTTTTATTCTTATGGTGAACATTTCTTTGGTGTAAGCGAGCAATTAACAGTACATAATTATTCAGGCAAAACTATAGTTATTTTTTCATATTTTTATTTTATATTTTCAAATGTGAAACTTACATTTAAAGGACACTTTTTTTCAAATAGTCTTAATCAGCTATTCCAGTTAATATTAAGAATTCTTACATTTTACCTGGTTTCTAAAAACTCTGTGAAATCTAAATAAAGAGCACATTTAAACTGATTAATTTCGCATTTTATTTAATCTTATCCAAGTGAAAATTTTATTACCCATGGTGAAAATTTTTATTTGAAGCCCGTATGTCTATGCTTAGGGACTAAAATGTAAATATTTTTTTTTAAAGATTAAAACTTGAACTTATTTAACCTCAACTTATTGGATTCTGAAAACTTATGTACAATATAAATTTTCTGTTTTTAATTATATGCATTTTAATGTTAAAAAGGGACATCACAAACTAAATAAAAGAACAACTTTTATAATTATATTAATTTGTAACATCTGAAAATTTGAAGCAGTTTTGTAAAATTTCGATTTTTCAAGTTTCAAATTATCTTTTTAATAATACACGCAGTGTATATGAAGATGCTAGGATATTAAAGCTTGTCCTATGAATTTTATTTAAAATGTGCATATATGCTGCATATTGTAAAAATATATGTGCTGTGAATATCGTGTAAGCAGCACAGTTTGTATCCAAAAGTGCTGGATAATAGAAACCGATATGTATAAAATACATAAAAATCAGAAACTTTAGAATTTGTAAATTACTATCTTTAACAAAAGTTATGTGGAAAGTCTCTTTGAACAAGTTTTTCTGCTCTGTATCTGTTATATATAAATATGCAAAGCAACTTGCAACTTTCTTGTTGAAGTATGTAATTTTTTCTTCCCACTCATAATGTGGGTTCTAATATCCATGTAATTCTCACAAAACTGTTGGGGAAAGTGGAATTTTTTTTTCTTTCCGGACACACCCCACCAGTTCTTGTTCTGTACAGATTACAGGTGGCAATGCATTGTATGTGAGGTAGTGTTGTAATAAGCCAGTTCGCTGGTAATTTGTTGTCAACGATTTAAAAAAAAATGTAAGAAATAAAAAATGTTCTCAAACGTTTCTATGTGTCTGTGTTTTTATGAATATAAACATGCAATACTATAAAACAAAATTGTATTTTATTTTTGAACAAATCTTTAGCTTTGATGGTTTGAAAGAACGTAGTCAGCCATTCATATATCAGTTCTTAATTAAATTTTTATAATGATATGTTTACATTGTTTTTACTACCAGGGGATACTATTTGTCAACTGACGAATATCACAGTATTTCTATGAAACTGCTATTCCTTTTTCTTCCCTTTGTACAAAATGGCGTTGTTTATTTAAAATTACTGTGTCCTACACACCTGAATCTACACACTTCGCTTTAGAATACAATTTATAATTGCTTATATCTTAATTAGCGGTAATTAGGTATTTAATACTGTCTAAGCTTATTTAATTACCTCACATAAAAATTAAAGTGAAATTTTATCGATTTTTAGTAGTATGATCAAAACAATATAGGTAAAGTTCACTAAGACTTATTAGATCCCCATGCAGTGTAGAAGTAAAGGTACTGTTATTAAAAAAGCAACACAATTTTTAGCCCAAAGGGGCGTTAGTCCAGAATTTGAGTTGAATCACCATAAACGACGAATCACTTTTCAAATTGTTACCACCAAATGTTATTGTGCTGTATTATATTTAAGAAATTAAATAATGAAGCATCTGCATAAAGGCATGTAGTATGTAACATAATCCTCCACCTGAACAGCCCGAATTTTGAATTTCGAATTTTTTTTATTATCTGTATCATATTTTATAAAACCTTAACGAATTTTTTATCAAAGATTTCAAAGCGAGCAATGGCAACACTGTACGGAAAAAACACTTTTATCTCCAACGCGTGAGACTGTGTGTGGGAAATTCTAAAGCTATGCTGCTTTACAATATTTTCTGATATTGTTCTTGAATTATATACGGTTTAAGTACGAAGAACATGAAGTTTAATACGTAGAGGTAACACACGTTAAAAAAATTTTTTTTAAAAAAGTCCCTTTAAGCGTAAGTAAAATCTTGAAAGCCTTCGGATTTTTTTTTCCTTGTTGATATTTTATTTTTTTTTTACCATGGAACTCTTAGAAATTCTAGAAAAAGTTAACTAAAAGATATCATGGCTGCCAATTTATCGCAATTTGAAAGTCTACCCTGCTTTTCTTTAAAAGATAAAACATGGATCTGCAGCCACACATTCTAGAGATACCTAGTATATTATTATTTACGTGTTCCTCCCTAAGACACTACACAGAAGGGAGGGATGCCTTCGTAGAGGGTTTTCTAAAGGAAACTGGCTCGTACTAGCACGTTACACATGATCAAAATCACAAAAACGTCCCTGCAGCCAGCCCGTTCGCTGGAGTCGAAATTCTGACCAAACTACCAGTGTTCAGGGACTTTATCGCTTGGACGCTGGTTGGTCTCGACATTTAGTATTGCAATCGTTTTGAATACCTATGAAGAGAGATTATATAGAGTATGTTCAATAGAGGAAAGTGTACAACCTAAAAGTCTCGTACTGTTAATAATTGCTCTCACTGTGCATAAAGCACCTAAATGTAATTCACTTATTATTTATGAAATACAGTAAATGTATTTCATAAATAATTCTTCCATATCAGCCGGGTAACCAGAATTTTAATGAACTCTTATAGTCAATATTTAGCTACGTTAACTTGAGTATAAATTTCTGAACTCTCCTACTGAAGCAAGGGGATCTTTTAACATTCTTAGAATAACTTCAATCCTTTTTATGTTGAAACACGTGATTGGCGTGTGATCTGTCGAAATTAATTGCAAACGAACGAATTAGTGAAGTTATACTTCGAGGGAGAAAAGAGGTCAGATACGGACTTTTATTGGAATATTTAAAGGGTAGAAGCACGCTTTTAGGTGCATTAATTTTCTATTTTTTACATTATTATTTAGTATGTGTGAAATGATTAAAATACCTATTAAGAAGAATTTTGAAATCAACGACTATTCCTTAATCAAAACAAAGTATGAACAAAGACAGGAACACAGCTTCAAGTGGTAGTTGTAGCAATTATTAAGAATCATGCGTAAACAAAGATTCTGTTAATAAAACTAAGAAAAGCTTCGAACATGCCTGTAAAAAGAAAAGAAAATGCTCCGTTCATTATTATTGCCGCGAGTTTTCCGTTATTTGAAAGTTATTTTAACACAATATTTTCATTGTTTTTCTTTTAATTTACATGCTTTAATCAGATATTAAGGTTTAAATTCTTCGACATTCTTATGACATGTGAACATTAAACATAAAATTGTACCAATAAATAGATGAAAATTTTAATTGAATTACTTTTTTAAAAGCTCCAAATATCCAAACATTTCCTTATTGGGTTTAACTATTTTTTAAAAAAATTAATAATTATTTTGTCAAAATAACAAAAAACAGTTTTAGTGAAATGGAAAATCATTAAATAAAAGTATGAGACTCTAGTTGGGCTTCCTTCATTAAAAGAGAAAAACAAAATTGTAGTAAAAATTGCTCCTTTCGACCGAGCTCACCATAGCTTAGAGGAGAAGACGCAGGACTCTAAATCTATTCAAGACAAGACGCCTGGTAATTGGTCTTTATGTAAATTTCCTTCTTATTAATGTTATCTTATTTACGTAAGTTTCCTTCTTCCAGAACATTTTGAGTCTGGAATGTTTCAGCATGTTCATCAACTGCATATAAGTAATTCTTCATTCAGTTCGATTTAATAAAAGTCTTGAGTTTAGACTTGAGTGCCTGTTCATTTGTACGATCCCTTCATATACGCGACAATATATTAGAAGTCTCTTTCAACTGTGAACTTTTCAAGTGAAACTCTTTTCAAAACGAGATTTCACTAAGCATTAAATACGATTAACCACCAAATTGCTGAAAAAATTTAGAATTTAGCCACATCTTATAGCATTTAATCTACCTATCTAAAAAAAATCATTTCAGAAAAAATCGCGTTTGATATCAAAAATAAGCAATGTCTTGTACAAATCAAATACAAATTTACCATTTTGAGACATGAAACTTAAATCAATTAACCGTTTAAAAATATGAATATGGAATGTAAAATTTATGTATGTTAAATTTGAATAATATTTTTGATACTTTTAAATACCTTAAGCGAAGTCTTCAAATTGAGTATGAGTCTTTTTTTTTTAGTCTTTTTTTGCTACTACGAACCTGGCAGTTTTGTGAGTGTTGTCATTGTACGAAACATTTAAAAAATACATCCGAAGATTCATTCTTAAACATCCATTCTTAAACTTGGTATCAGATTACAGTGTTGGTACGAGAAAGAGGCTCATGCTTGAAAGGACTTTACTTGAACAGCAAGTCTGAAATGCCAAACGTGAAGGAGGGCCGCATTTACGCATAAGCTACAGAAGCTATAGCTTGGGGCCCCAAAAAAATAGTATAAATAGTGTCATGTATCTGGCTGCGGTCAGCCAATCAGCTGTCTCCCTCGCGGTAAGAATCCAGCAAGTGAGACAGACGAGAGCTGTCTGCAGAAAGTGTGGTAAGGCGTTTACGCCTGAGTTCGAGTTCTGATTTTAGCCAGCGGGGTTTATTAATTTGTAAGGTATTAAGCAACTGTGTTTCATTGGAATTATTTTATCAAATCATATAATATCAACTTCATGTAAATATTTTTGTACATAAAAAGTCGTGCTTCTATATAATAAAGGATTCATTTTCAAATAATATATTGTGTCACGTCTCTGCCATTCCGACAAGCATGACAAATAGTATTAAAATATATTATAACAGACTTATTAATGACCCCATATCTCAAATAGCTTAGGGCTTTATCAAGTCTAAATCTGTCTCTGCCCGGAAGTGTTCAAATGTATTTTCGCTGTTGTTGTGAATTCATTCAAAACGGTGTAGTGTTTGTTCCCCACTTGCAAATGCTACGTTAATGTTGAGCTTGAAGAATCTTAAGAATTGATAAGCGAATAATCGCTTGAGTTCGTGGGTGTTCCAGCATGGTGGATCAGAAATCCTGGTAATTGGTCGAACTTTGTAACCAATCGTGGTAAAGAAATTACTAAGTTGACAAAACCTGAATCATGGAGGCATGTGGTCGGTAATATGAACCCCGCAGATGTGTTATCTCGGGGTTTCTCTGCGAACCAAGTGCTTAACTCGGAGTGGTGTAAGGGAACCACTCTGGTTAAGAGAAAGCCCTGAATTTTGGCCTACCAATATTGTTTGTCAGCCGAACGAAGCTGACTTGGAAAAAAGGAAGGTAAAACTCAGTAACGTTAGCTTTTCAGAGGATACCACCTTTGGTATCAGAAAGAGTTACTGATTGTGAAATGATTCTGTATCCGGTTGGTTGTTACTTTTTATTCTAACTGTAGAAGGATTCAAATGTGTAAAGATCTAACAATTGTTGCTGAAATCATAAATTCCGAAAAACTTTTGATTCGATGGTTAAAGCTCAAATTTCCCTGACATTGAAGCACTTAATCCACTTGATGTATTCATTGATAATGAAAAAATTATAACAGTTAAAACGAGAATATTGGAACGCAAAGATAATTCTGAATTTTTAACACCAGTTTTGTCACCGAGTAAATGTATCTTTACTATATTTTTAATTCAGTTTATAAGAAACATTGTCATGCTGGAACTCAAATGCTTCAATCTATTTTAAGAGAAAGTTTCTGGATGCTAAAACAATGTCAAACTATGCGTTATGTGTTAAAAGGGTGTGGTAATATATCAACGATATAAAGCGAAAAGGGATTCAGAAGAGATTTTTGTCATGACGTATGTGTGTACGTATGTATGTATGTATGTATGTATCTCTGAATTTCGCATAATTCAAAAACGAGTAGCCGTAGATTGTTGAAATTTTGTATATGGGACTATTATAACATGTAGATGTGCGCCGTCTCTTTTGGTTGCAATCTTTCGTAAGCAAACGTATATTTATATGTATTTATGCATGCATGTATATATATATATATATAGGATCGCTGTTCTAGATATTATAAATT